AGAACTCTCATGCTGAACTGCATATAATAATCATAATCTGAAAAAAATATCGATAGAAAGAAAAACAATCTTGTATCGTAATTTCACTTTTTCAATTGCATTCTCGAAAATACAAATTTGCACAAAAATTCGCGGCCTACTCGTGAGTTCTTTCGGGGAGAAAGAAACAGCTCGAACGTTAAGAATAAAATTGATGAAATAATTGAATAAAATTGGGTCAAGTACTTCACAAAACAGATTCAAATCATTTAAGATCTTCAATTCTCATTCGCTAAAAGAAGCTCAAGCTTGCGAGACGAAACTCCTACAGACACTGACTTGGATTCGTAAATACATATTAAACTTGAACTCGTTTCTAGCTTTGCTTGGTACTTCGAAAATCAAAATCTATTCCAAAGCCCAGCTCCACGGAAGACTCTTTACGTTCCATCGTCGTGAAATTTTTTATAAATGATCTCGTCAACCGAGGCTGATTGCGGCGGAAAAGACGTGGGGTGGAACCGAAAGGGTGGAAGGTGCAAAACGCCGAGTACGTCCAAGGAGAGGGCTCTATCGCGGAAACTATCGGTCGTCGTTGGACGACGCCTGTAATCTAGGGCCGTAACCACTTGCTCTCGGAATCGGTGGAGACGACGAGAGAAAATGGAGAAGGGAGGTATAAAAAAAGAAAAAAAAAAAAAAGAAAAAAAAACAGGCAGAAAATGAAATACGGATTACAGTGGTTGGCCGAGCCACGATAATGACGGGTAATGACGACCTCGGCCAGTACCCTTCGCTACTACGCCGCTGTCCGGATCAGATTTGCCATTTTTTCGCGCCCGCCCCCGCTCTCGACTCTCCCTCTTTTTTCTTCTTTCTCTCTTCTGTCGTCGATGGATAAGCAATTTTCGTACAGAGTTACCACCCCTTGTCGTCGATGAGCCTCGTTCCGCTGCTATAAGGTTACCATTTGTCCTCGTCGTCGATTTAACGCGCGTTTTTGCGCTGAATTACCCGCCGTTTAGCGATACTGCTTGATTTTCTGTTTTTCTCTCTTTGTTTTTTTTCTTTTTCTTTTTTTTTTTTTTTTT